AAAGGATAGGATTTTATCATCGCATAAGAGTTAATATTTTTTCAAGTCATATTGTGTCTGAGTTTTGTGGTGATCTGTTCATTATGGATATATTTTTCTTCTAGATTATGACAATGATGATCTCTAATAATTTCACGAACCGTTTCAAAGAAAATCGAATGTTAGCTATTGAAATAAGTACTTTTAACCAATTGAACATATCATGAACAGTTGTACCAGCAAATGCAAGACTAAATTCTTCATGTTTTCCCTTAAAAAAATATAAATGTTGATTTAGTCTTGTTAATAATAAAATAAAAACTGGTTGCATTAAAGCAACTAATGTGTTGGTTACAGATGTACATTTTAAACAAAAATCCTTCTGTTAAGAGAAAAGTGACGCATGATGATAGTAAAGTCCTCCTAAAGTCCACTAAGTAAAAAGAAAATTCCGCTGAAAAATAGAAAAGTCCTCTTACAAAAAATAATGATCATCCATTGAAAAGAGAAAAGTCCTTCTGTTAATAGAAAAGTGACGCATGATGGTAGTAAAGCCCTTCTAAAGTCCGCGAAGTAAAAAGAATTTTCCGCTGAAAAATAGGAAAGTCCTCTTATAAAAAGTAATGCTAATCCATTGAAAAGAGAAAAGTCCTTCTGTTTAGAGAAAGTGACGCATGAGGATAGTAAAGTTCATTCAAAGTCCGCTGAGTAAAACGAAAGTTCCGCTGAATAATAGAAAAGTCCTCTTATAAAACGTAATGCTAATCCACTGAAAAGAGAAAAGTCCTTCTGTTAAGAGAAAAGTGACGTATGATTATAGTAAAGTCCCCCTAAAGTCCGCTGACCAATAGAAAAGTTGGGTATGCTATCAGTGTGGCATAAATTTGGTGTCCTTTTGATTGACTAGTAAAGTCCTTCTATTCGCTAGCGGACTTTAAGTAAAGTGGACAATTTCGGGATCTTTGACAGCCCTCAACTTGGTGCGTTGGAACGCATCTAAAATGCAACATTATCGGGGATCTGAACGTGTTTACAGTTAGCAGTCGCGTCTTCGCTCGCTCCAATTCTAACAGCATCACAATTGGTTAATATCAACAGAAGCGTTTGGACGCATCCTGAGTGCGGCATTTTCCGGCATTTAAACGCGTTCAAAAACCAAAATGCATGTAAAATCGCCCATGTTGAAGACGGATTACGATCTGTTTTCTGGTTTTGCGGCGTTTGGATAGGGTTACGAGATGAACGCGTTTTGATGCGTTTACTTGAGGGTGTGGATGTCATATCTCTCTTTACTCACACTAGAGTACTGCGCGGGTTTGACTTTTAGCACCCGCACCCGACCCGAAGGCCTCTAGTGGGACCCGAGCCCGACCCGACCCGACAAGGTTCTACCCGAGCCCGACCCGACCCGACAAGGTTCAACCCGAGCCCGACCCGACAAGATTCAACCCGAGCCCGACCCGACCCGCTGATAGTCGAACCCGAACCCGACCGGACCCGAGAAACTAAATTCTCTTATTTCCAAAAGATAAACAACTTTATTTCAATGTTAACCACAAAAAATAACAAAAAATTGTTCCACCAAATAGCATTTGATTGTGGTTTATCACATAACGTATATTCACCACTTTGAAGCAATTTCCGAATCTTTTCTTTTGGATCCATTTGAAAAAGATAAAAATAATAACGAAAGTATGACTATAACAAAGTATCAGTTGTTTATAAATACAAAGAAAGCTCACATCCATATATGTGTATATATGTGTATCTATTGTTTGTAGTCATAAACCAATAGAATTATATTTCATTGTTCTTTGTATTTAACGTATACAATAATAGAGGGCAGAGGCATCTATCGCGAAAAAAATGTAACCCGAAAAAAATCCGAAATTTTCAACATCAAACCCGCACCCGACCCGACCCGCAGCTAATCGAACCCGTGCCCGACCCGACCCGACAGGATTGAACCCGCACCCGACCCGACCCGATAGGGTTGAACCCGCACCCGTCCGCGGGTGCGGGTCGGGTGCGGGTTCGGGTCGGGTCGGGTCGGGTTGCAGTACTCTAACTCACACTCATACCCTATAATCACAAATGACTATTTCTATTTGTTTGATTAACAGTTATGTGATAATTGATAGTACAAATAATGGTCCAAGCTATTATCATAAGCAAGAAATGAGTCTAATCGATATAGATAAGATCGAGACTTATAGGTTTAAAGTTCGAATTTCAACGAATATTTCCAATACCAGAAAGTAACAAGACATCAGTAATAATGTCATTTAACGTA